GCCGTGGTTAGTCCCCGAAGCGCCATGTATTAAAATCCCGTGTTTAACTGGCGAAACTAATATTCAGCGACATCACACGGTGAAATATGGAATCATAGAACTTAATGGGACCATGGGCTTCCGGCACTATGTAGTATTCGATAGAATCCTTGCACGCCTAGTGCACGCCTTGCTACATGCATGGGGCCAGCCTCGCTTTCCGCTTGGTCGCAAAATTTGATGTGAAGTGTACAGCTAGTTTACACCAGTTTACAAATTGACCTCAACTGCGACTCTCAAGTGTACAACGCCTTCGTAACACGCGCGTTCATGCGCTTCATAACACTACACGAGATTTATAATCATCCTCTTCCGAGATCAGTTCGTCAGTGTTTCAATCGCATTTAATCATATGAACTTTTAAGTATGTCATTCAAAAGAGAAGGTGACAATGAAGCTTTGCTTCATAACTTGAAGGTTAATTATTTTTATTGTATGTTATATGTAGAATTTATTTGTACATGAATTGTAATGTAGATTAAATTGGGGTAACAAAAGTAATGACACATGATAATTTAAATTATTTATAATTTCTAAGACTGTCTAGTTCTTTAACATTTAAGATTTAATATTAACTTCCAATTCCTGGGTTAGTACTAATAATTAAGTATGAAATGACAGCAATAATTTTGCAATAACAATAACCAACTGGATGCAGAGAATGGTTAAGTATTTCATGGATTGAACATAGTCACAGAATGGAAAGTGATTACAAGATAAGTTTTAAATAATGATTTAATGGAAATTGTGTTTTGATCGATCTATCCCTTCATACCTTAGAATGTGTTAGAAGAAGAAAACTCAATCTATTTTCAATTTAATATATTGTTTAATTCTATATTATAATACTGGGTGTGAAGTGGTGAATTTATTAAATTGTGATGCATGTACCTGCAGACTTGTATCATATTCTATAGGATATTATGATCCATTGATTTAGCTATAAAACTATGAAAAATATTGATTGACAAAATTGAAACACATCCCGTACTTCTTTAATTTTCAAAACTAAAACTTTTGGTCAAATCAAAGAATAATCTTTCTGTTGTTTGTTATTAGTAATAATGTTAACAATTATTCACAGCTTATGGAACTCCTGAGGTTTCGCAACTGTTCAATTTCTCATGGAATGACTCGTATACTTTTCATTTGTCATTATTCATTAGTTTAACTTTTTTGTTACTATTTTGGGGGTATGAATTGTATGTTTTATGTGGTCAGTGCTAAATTTGTTACTTAAGTGTTTTGTACATATAGTATTTTCTTTTGATTGCCACTTCGATTCTTTTAATTAATACATAAGTTAACAATGCAGTTTTCTTATTTTTAATATTTTTATATTTAAAAAAATGTTAAATTTAATAAGATAATCTAATCTTTTCTAATCATAGTCAATTTTGAAGTGAATCTTATCATACTACCAAATTCTTACAACTATTGTTTTAAATATTTGTTTAGATGCGTCGTGTTGGCGAGTTGTTAAGTGAGCACATTCCCGAAGATGAGGCAAAGCTTCTAAGCAATGGAAGGTGATACCATTACATCTGTTGGAAGTTTATTATTATATTATTTATTTTTATATTTCACTAGTAAATAAGTACAAAAATTCAATTTTCTGTTTATTATTTAGGTTGACATGCTTGATCTGCAGCCATCGACCAATATTTGATACATGTGCAGTCTTAGCGAATCATCGTAAGGGGAAGAAACATATTGTTGGTATGTATTGCTTTATCTTTTGATTAATGCTGAGAATATGAGAGCCATGAGTGTATGCTGTATATCTGAACCTTGATTCTGCAATGATTTGTGCAAATGTCAGGATTATTGTTTATGGCCAAACCAATAAATTAAAAATAAAAATACTATCTTTCGTGTATTCAGTTTCATTTTAAGTAATTAAACAACTTGAACAAAGTTGGTTCTGTTAAAAAAATGTATTGAACTCTCAACTGACTAGGTTCTTGCATGACATTCATTGGCTTTTTACTTACTTTAATACATAATAGAACAAAAGTTACGGATTACAGCATTTGTCCTCAAAATTGGATGGAAATATGTGTTTTGGGGGTTTAGCAAAAGTATTGTCTTTTAAAAAATGTCCTTGTCTGCCCATCTGGGAACAAACTATACTTATACCATACCCAAAATAGATAGTCCTTTATCAAACTCAAGACCAGTAAAAATTGAAACAGATCTGTTGAGGATTCTTTACATTGAGTCCTTACTAGGAACATTTTTCAAAATGTAAAAAATCTCCAAATTTTTGGAGTGAGCTTAATGATACGGTAAAAGTCCTATTTTCTATAAAACCTCAAGATTTAAAAAATTACAAAAGTTCGACTTATTTCCAACTAGATCTTTACTAAAGTTTAGTATAATAGTTGCGAAGCTCTAATGAGAGGAGAATTCATCCGCTTGACGCTAGCGCTCCTGTTGCCACTAAGAGTCATCGGTATTTAAGGCTATTAGAGGGAACAGGAGACTGACTAGTGATTAATAATTTTCAACACTCTAAATTTTATAACATTTTTAAAACAGCACACAGCCATGTGCATAAAATATGAAATTTTGTGGTCTATACGTAATAAAATACCCCTTTCAAGATTATCATAAAATACAAATTACCGTCAAAGAGAGATGGTGAAATCTACATTTAGTATGCAGAAGCAAAACAAGGGACAATCTCTGCGTTTTCTCTATGAATCAAGAAAAACTGCATGAAAAACCTTATTGAGATAAGAGAAAATGTTGGAATCAGCGTATTGCAAAAGTGCTTTGAAATAACAACATTCATGCACAATTATGTTAACACTTTCCCTTCTGTATCTTTACAAAACGTAAGGAAGAATATATTAGGCAAATTCTTTTGATTGTTGCTACAGATTATAGCACTACAGGCATTTCTGTATGTTGCCATTTTTAATTGTTCATCACAATTCAACAGTGGAAAGTGAGCTAAGTACAGATAATAAATAATATTCAATCGATTCAACTCACTGTATGAAAATATTTATATGCCACATCTCAACGAACTGGTGGTCTCTTGCTCACTACTAAGAGTGCTAAGGTCGCACTGGATGAAAAAAAGCATAGGGAGCTTCGCAACTGTTACACTAAACTGTGCTTACACCATCAACACTTTGAGGTTTCTTACTTAACGTTATTTCTCTTTTTTAATATTAGATCTTCAAATAATTTCATTCACAGTTTCTCACAATATTAGTAGTTTTTGCGTAATGTTGAATCAAACCTTGACAATTTTCCAAAGATACATAAACAAGATTTTCACGATAACAGCTCCAAATTTATTCTTTAAGTTTTGTAAATGGATAGAGAACAATAACCTTAATGACATGACATAGCACTACTTTCATTAAAACGTTTGAATTTTCATAAATTAAAGTACATAATTGTTTTTAAACATCTCGCCCATCTTTAACTTTTACAGTAGGGGGTATTTTGAATGCATTTGCAAATTCAAACAGATTTTTTGGCTGGGATGGTGCTCATGTTGCCCCGAAACAATTTTATTATCATCAAACAATTCTCATTTGATTCAGTATGCCACATTAGTCCGAATATGGCCAATTTTACTTTATAACCATAGAAATAGACCCTTTTCATATGCCCATAGCTCCGTAACTTTTTATCCATACCCAATATTTTTAATTTTGATAAGATTACAGCCTGAAATCACTATTTTAAAACTGTGCTTCGCACAATTTTACTACTTCACTACAATCGGTTAAAATTGCACCGCGCGACCTCAGCGATGACGACCCACATTCGAGTCGCACTGCTGCGACTGATTTCTTTATTCTCTGTTAGGCTTCATTGAACATGTTTGTGGAGACATCAAACAGATTGGAAGTTACAAGGCATTAAAATATACCATACGGCATTTGAAAACCCCTGAGCTTCATTTCGCCTCTTTGTTTGGGTACGTGCACATCATCGCGCCGCTCGCGGAGGCGCACTCCTAAAACCAGTATTTGTGTCAGAAGTTACGACTTGTTAGGGGCTCTTCCCACGTGACGACGACGGGGCGCTTCCGAGCAGCGCGGCGCGTAGCAGATCGTTGCTTTGAGTGGAGGCCTTCCCACGAGCAACGGGCGCGCGTTTTTGTGGAAAGCGGAGAAGTGGTACGCGCCACCGCTAGCAGAATACAGCTTTAAATGGGAGCCTGCTGCGGTCCCTTTGTTCGTCGTCGCCGGAGGGTCGGCGAAACATACCCTTGCAGAACTCGCCCCGTGGGGACGTGGGAAGGCGCCCTAAGTTGCGAAATTACGTATTCAAGTTCAATAGTCAACTAATTGTACCTAGAAAATTCACAAATAATCAGTATTTACGGAAGTTGCTGAAGTGTCTGGAATCTAGTGGGCGATTTTCAACATTCACGCTTGTAAAATTGGCATTTTTTACCCATAATTCAACTAATAATCCTTACCAAAGTGATCTTTTTGTATTAAAAAATACATCGCATATTTAAGAAAGTAAGTGGGTAAAAATGGAAATCTTACGTGAACACTTTTGTGCAATAATTTTTACTTTTTTGCTACCGCGGTAGAGAGAAAGTTATGAAATGCTGCGAGAAAAAAACGGTGAATTTTCGGTAGAAAAACTATTACACTGCTCTTGTAGAGAAAAATTGGATAAACCCAAATGCTAAATTTAGAAAAAATCCTCTAACACGTGATGCAGACAGAATCAATATTTTGGGTCCATGACACCGAAAAATCGATTGACGACGAAACTTCTAACCGTCCGTCTGTGAACAAAGCTAAAGGCTAAACAGTTCAGCCTATTTTCTCCAAAATTGATATTCCCCGATCGATCAGGCAGATGTCGCGACCCCTTGAATTTCAAACTGATTTTTGAATTCTCGGGTACTTAACGTAAAGCCTCTGAGACAATTTCAGAATTTTCAAAAAATGGCTCCGTCGTTTTTTATTGAAATTTGTTGTGTGAAGGACGACTAAGAGAATGGCGCAGGTCTCATTTCCCTTGAAAACAGATTTTTCGAAACTTGCAAAAATCCGAAAAGTTTTCGGCGTCTTCGTACAATTAATATTAAGGATAGAAATTTTGCCCTCAATGTCTGTTCCTTAAAGATAGATTTTAAAATAAGGCACAATTTTTATAGGCAATTTTTGTTCAAACAATTTTTTCTCTACAATGGCTCATCGTTTTTTATTAAATTTTGTTATTGGATGATTGATGTTTATGAGAATGGCGCAGGTTTCATGTTGGTAGAAACCCCTTATTTTTCGAAAATTGAAAAACAAGATTTTTTCGGCGTTTTCCTACATTTTTTTCCAACGAAATGTGTTCATAAAAAACTGATCTTTAAATAAAGTCATTTCTTTTTTTCTCAAAATTTGAGTAATTTGGCGTCAAACTTAGTTAGATGGTACTTCTGTTATAATTTGTTTATAATTTCATATTTCTTTCATTCAGGCTATTGTTACATGTTTTAAAATCAATCTTTTAGAAATTATTTTAAATTGGTCCTTTAATTGAGTTAAATGCGAAAACGAATATATAATTTCTTTTTGCTTAATAAGATGTGGGAATGAAGAGTAATGCATGTAAAAAGAGAGTAATTTGGATGAATATTAAATATATTAAATTATATTTTTCTACCCATTTTTATTTTCTTGGTAGCGGTATCAACAATGCTAATTGGCAAAATGTGTATCGCATACGAATTAGCTGCCATTGTTGCTTGTAACCCATTATTATAAACCTGCACTGGTAACAAGGCGATTACGACTGCCTTCGTTCGCATTAATATAAACTAATAATTTTTTTGCGGCTATAATGAATGTACTGAATTGAATGACACAAAGCGGTTTTCGTTTAAGCATTTGAATTTTTTTAAATGTATTTTTACGCTTCGTTTATTGAAGAATTTTTCAAATGGTAGTTGAAATATAAGAAATTGTCATATATAATAGTAACAATATCACAAGAAAGAACGTGCTGTTGTAGCACCACTAGTTTATGATTTCAAAAGTTGACACCAAAACAATGCATCGATCTACTTCATTTGGCATTACATCCATGCGAGTACATCTCCATCCCAGAGCAGTGTTTACAATTGGTTTGCAAAATTTCAGCGTGGACGCATTTATCTCAATGACGAACTTCGCGAGAGTCATCCTGCAACACCTGTTCATGCTGTGCTAGAACTGATTGATGGAGATTGGCATGTGGTATACCGAGAAATTCAAGCGCCCTTGGGTATTGACATGAAAGCAATACACACGAATTTGCGTGATCATTTGAACGTACAAAAGCTACGTAGCTGTTGTTGTCAAGAATATGCCTAAGTAATTCAACAAAAGTCGTTCAAGATTGGTCTACAACAGGGTTATCCAGCTGGCGGCTCGCGGGCGCATGGGGCCCGCTTTGCCTTAATTGTGGCCCGCGAAAGGGTGTTTGTCAAAAGTGAAAGTCTCTTGCAATCATGTCGGACAAGTGTGGTATGCACCTAGCGTACCCGCCCGCTAGGATCAACACCCCCTTTAATGTCATAATAGGTGAAGTTTAGGTTTAAGGATATTTTTGTAGTAAATTGAGAAGTTTAACATCAGCCTAACGTGTTTCACGTCGATATGCATGGTACGGCATGATAACGTGCATGCCCCCCCTCCTTTTAGAGCAGTCTGGCAAAGTTCCGAGATCAACAATACGGGGAAGTCAAGTGCGGATCG